AGGAAGTCCAAGAGAATCAATAGTGTTTGTCAATCATCAAAACAAAAGTCATGAAAATAGATTTGCAACACTGGCTATTAAGGCATTTTTCGGTATCGATGTATCGTTGTGTCGTTATATCCGTTGGCTCAATAAGAGTCGTCACTCTGTGCCCGTCGGCCGCCCGTCGGCATAAACTCCTTATGACTCCCAATCGTTGTATCTATGATCAATAGAGGATAACACCAAACCCTTTTTAAAGGAAAGCCCGTCGGCCCACCATCCTGTACATGTCAAGTCAATCTCCAACTAACGGTTCAACCAGTCTTCACTTGTCTTTCAGTAACAATAACAATAATTCAATCATATATTTACATTCATATGCATATCAATAAGGTATTGCAATCAATAAATACAATTTAGCTCAATGCAGAAAACCCCTTAAAATATCGTATAATAGACAGACGTCGTTGCAAAAATGCACAGTTGCCGAAAATTATCGAATTATCAGAAATCGAATAAAACAACGTTTCAAAGCTTTACTTGTACTGAAGCAATAATTTCCAACATCCTGATAATTTTTTATTCGATAAAAATCGCACAGAACTCAAAATACCCGGTAGAAACTTTACAGAAAATACTCAAATTGTGTAGAAATATCATATCAGAAACATATCAAAAGTTGTGCGGTAAAACTTTCGTCAATACAAATTTATGCGCATTTTTCGGTAACGGAAACACAAATCTGAGCACAGAAATATCAAAACTCAAAATCTTCGAAATCAGAAATAGGATTCAGATTCCTTACTTCGAGACAAACAAATCTTTCAATTGCGTCGTCGGTCGAAAAGCGCTCTGCGGCCTCCAAAATCAAGCTTTCCCTTCTCTTTCTATCTCCTGCTTTTTCTCTCTCCTCAAAATATTTCCAAAATATCTCAAATCCGATACTTATCAAGCAGGATCGTCCAGGACGATTCCCAGATCGTCCCAGGATGAACTCCTCTGGACACGGATTGTACAGACGAAAATTAATTCCAATTTGTTTCGTCCCTGGACGATGCTCTCTGTTCGGTTCGTCCCGACCCTTACAGGATCGTCCAGACGAAATTGACAGATTATTCACAATTTTCTTCAGTTCGTCCGGACTAACAACACTAAAAAAAATCAGCTTCAGAGGGGTTTTACACTTATGATATAACGTGTTAAGCACATATGCGATAAAATATGAGTGCTATGATTATAAAATGATTATCGCAATGCATAAAATAAAAAAAAACTAAAATATAAATAAATAAATAAATATCATACACACATTATTAGGCGTACTAATGAATACAGTGGAAGAGCTGGAATTTTTTTTTTTAAACATGGAACAAATTAATTTTTTCGGATGTTCCCTCAAATTTTCATATGGATTTAGAACCAACATTAATGATTTTAAAAAAATATATATTATACGAATTTATTTATTACAGAAAAAGTTATTTCAATTCATATAATATTTGTCTTGAAATAAATTCTAAAACTTTTAATGTATCATTTTTAAATTTAATTATAATATCTTAACTTAATTTTTTTGTCATATAAAAATATTAAAATGATTAATTATTTATGCTTCTACTTTAATAGAAAATAAATATTAATAATATAATAAACAGGCCTAAAAATTTGTTAGGGCGTCGTGCCCCCTGGTTCCCTTTCTCTCCGCCCTGAATGAATGAAAATCTAATTTATCAAAGTTTTCTCGCATGGTTCACCACTTCACCTCTTGCTCTCATAGTCTTACTGACCCATCCTTCCATCCCTACAAGCTCTACAGGAAACGACAATGCGCCATCGCTGACCTTATCAGAGCTCCTTCCCACCCTACACATGATATCAACATTGAACTTCACAGGCTTACAGCCCTTGTTGGTTCAATCTTCTTCACGCCACTTTAAGCTTTCGCCTCTTTCTACTGTAGAAGCTTACCGGAGCCATGGCTCCTCCCCTCTTTAACCTTGCTCCCGGTCTACAAGTGTCCAGGCTTTGTTTGGGTTATCTCTCTCTCTCTGTCTCTCTCAGTCACACGCACGCATTCTTTACCTCTTCGACGTCGAGATTAACCGAATTCGCTGTGCATTGGCCTGCAGGTACCATGACTTTTGGAGAACAGAACTCACTTCCACAGTCTTACCGCCTTCTCGACGAGGCTTTGGAAGCCGGTATCAACTTCTTTGACAGCGCTGAGATGTAATAATCGAGGATTGACTAGTCCTAGATTGTTCATCAGTGTTCCGTTTTGTTTTGTGACGCATTTTTTTTTTGGTTTTGTTTTGCTGATTAAGGTATCCGGTGCCTCAGCGCAGAGAAACACAAGGACGGAGCGAGGAGTACCTGGGCCTTTGGGTGAGGCAGCGGAGGGTTCCGCGAAATCGCGTAGTCTTGGCCACTAAGGTGCGTAATATTTCCTTTTCCGGATGGGTCTAACTTGCTCTGTTGGGAGAAATCTCTCTGTAACATCGATTTTCCTTGCTGTGAGTCGAGAAATCGATTTATATGCGTAAAATTGAGAAGTTTTATGCGAGCGTGTAACAGTTATTTTCCCCCGTCAATTTCTTTCTTAGATAATGCTACCATCTTTGTGCTAAATTTTATGAGATGTCTAACTGGAGAAATCCATCTCACTTTGGGCATCTTCTGCTTGTGCTAAATTTTTGAAAGCTACAAAAATTTCTTTTTTGGGGCATGTCCATCTAGCTGTTTTGGGAGAAATCTACTTGAAACATCATCATCCTTGCAATGGTTCGACAAATATTTTAATGCGTGTAAAAACAAGGAATTTTAAGACAGTGTAACATTTAGACGCCTCATCAATCAATTTCTCCATCCATGCTACCATCTTTGTGCAAATGTTCATGAAATGTCAAAAGGGAGATTTGCTTGACAGTATTTAATTTGCAAGTCTTGAAATTATTAGTTATGATATGCTATTAGAAAATTCATCTGATCAAGCACGAATTTTGGCCAATTTTTATTTGTCAAAGAACCATAATATTTGAATAATAAAATTCTAATATTGATTATGTGATCATCTAAATTTTGTTTTTAGCAAATTTACAGTTGAAACAGTCCCAAATACCAATAACATCTTGATCGAGTCCAACAACAACAACAACAACAACACTAACAACAACAACAACACCAACTATGTGAGGTCGGCTACATGTATCCCTTTTCTCCATTGTCTTATTATGATTCAAATTCTCATTTCAATCTAATAAGAAAATGTTATTTCTAATACTTTCTAACCAAGTCTTTTTTGTCTATCTCTATATTTCTTAACATCGATTAGATCTAAAACTTCTACTCTCTTTACCGGGTTATCGGAAGGCCGATGTTTTATGTGACCAAGCAGTCTAAGGAGGCTCTCTAATCTTATTTGCGACTGGAATTACTCCAACCTTTTTATGTATATACTCATTTCACTATCTCTAAATTTAAAGCCACTCATCCACCCAAGCATTCTCATCTTTGCAACACTTAATGCTGTTGTCGGGTCCCAAATTTTGGATGAAAAATGTGGAGGGTTGTGTTAGGCAGTCGATAGATGACGTAAAACTTGTTGAACAATCATGCTATGAATATTGATCGAGTCCAAATGGGCATAAATCAAGCAATCAAAGGCATAATTGGAAACTTCTTGAAGCCATTTGGAGAGTCAGACATTATCCGAATTTTGCATGTTTATGATAAAAACAAGTACCTCGACAGGAAGAATTAAAAAAGTCCAAGATTACTCACCAAAATATTAAATGGTCAAGGAGGCCTTTCTAGATTGTGCGACGTAGCATCTAGGGTTCCCCTCTAGAAATTTATAAATAAGCATTGATTCTGCACATTAAGGGGAGGTTTTTTAGCATAGTGGAGTTTGAGATTTGTTGAGAATTTTAAAGCTCCACCCACAACTGTCTGCTTATGCTAATTTGATGTTGACGTTGACCTTGGCATGTTTGTCGTCCACTATCATTGATGCTCACTATTACTTGTCTACCATTGATTGATGCTAAAATCCGCTGCTACCCATTTATTATTGCTCGCTATCTATTAACATCAACTTCCATCATAGCCCGCTCGCCATAAGTTGACGTTGATTTCTATTATCTTTTACTATGTAACAGCTAACTCCACCACCTTCCAATACATCACCACCATCATAAGAGGCAATCCCAAGAATTCAAGTCTTGTAATCTAGCCCTCTCTTGTTGTGGAGGAGGCTTAATTTTTGTAATCTTTAAGCTATGGGTGCAATTGATTCGACTAGGGCATACCTTGTGGTATTTTCTATTAAGAATTTTCAGCATAAAAAATCTTATCTTCTCTCAATGGGTCATTTATCTGTGTGTGGGAGATTTTGATGTTAGTTGACCTTATCAAATTCTATTCTTAGCTGTAAATATTCCAAAACATAATATTTTGGTGTTGTATGGAAACAACTTCCCATCATTTGTTGTTAGATTGATCATTAACATCACCTCGAATGGAGAACAAGCATAACACTCACAATAACAGAGCCTTTACAAATAATTTTGAGCTGTTTTGGAGGAATTTGGATTGAATTTCGACAATTTTTTTTAATGATGTGCATAGTTCACTGATGGTTGAGATTAAAGGGTATTTACTCAATTCACATGCCAAGCGGAGATCCATGCTGACATTTTGGGAGTGAATGCGCCTTTGATTTCTCCAAAATTTTATGTCCCGAATTTTTATTGACCTAGAGTATTTTCCGTCATAAATTTAGCTGATTAAAAATATTGTGCAACTGATATGCCCCCAAAAATTCATTTGATCAAGATATATTTTTACACAATTTTTCTTATCTCAAAGCCTCAATGTATTTTGACCCAAGCTTTTGAATTTGATTACTAGATTTTATGAGTTCGATTTTCAGCTAGCTTATAACTGTAAAGATATATTTTGGCTAGAAGGCCCCAATGATATTGAAACGACTTGATCGGAGCCCTGATGGGCTGACATCACACACTTATAAGCATAATTGGAAACTTTGTCAAGCCATTTGGATGGTCAAACATTCTTCAAATATTGTGTGCTTGTAGTCAAAATGAGTGCCTCAATGAAAAAAAAAAAAACTAAAGCATCCAAGATCATTCTATTTTTATCTTTTTAAGGCACTTTAATGTCCAAAAACCTCAATTGATAATGGTTGATTATTTGATTGAGTGTCTAGGATCTCAACATAAATGACTGGAATACCCATCTTGAAATTTATACATAAATATTTTTTACATATTAAGAGGATTTTTGATATAGAAAAATATAGATAATTTTATATCCTAATCCACCACCCCCTTCATTGACGGTTGACTCCAATTTCTTTGTCACAAGTCCACTATTGATTGACGTTGACATCCAGCGTCACATGTTTACCTATGCCAATATCCACCTTTGTTCATCCATCGTTGCCTATTAATATCATTAATATATCATCATTCGTCGATGTTATCTATTTTTCATCTACCGCCAACGTCCTTTGTCACTCATCGTCTGTTATTGTTATCTATCCCCTGTGGTATGTCGGCATCATTCACCCCCCCATCGTGCATCAACATTGTCAGTTCTCGTCCCCCATCAACGATGTTTGATGGACATTTGCATGCTATTGTATGTCGACATCAGCCACTCACTATCACCCGTCAGCTTTTTTTGTCTACCATAAAAATACCAATGCTCACCTTTACCCATTTGTTGTGACTTGTTCGTTGATTGCTATTGACCAATGCTGAGGTCTATCTTTGCGAGGTTGTCACTGCTTGTTGTCAATTGATGCCAATTGATATTATGTCCCCCGTTGCATGTTGGTTGTTGCTCCCCATAGTGTGCTTGCTCTCAGTTGATTATGAAGTCCATCATCTTTCATCATCTACACTTCAACTACATCACCTTCCAATATAATCTATTTCCATCGCATTAGACAACCCCAATTATTTAGGCCTTGTAATCCTGCCTCCTTCAGCTATGGAGAAGCTTTGTGAATCTTTTCGATATTTAACCTAAGTAGCAAAACTCTTTTCAATTGGGCTAGGCTCAATATTTTTCATTTTCAAGATTTTCCACATAAAAATCCTCTTTTTCTTGTGTCTTGCTAGTCATTCATTTGTGTGGACATTATTTTTATGAAACATTGAGATGATAAATTTTCCTTTAATCGTCGTGAAAATTCCAGCAAGCAACAAATTCAAAAACATATTTTAACTTATCATCTTAAAATTTCATAAATGTTATCCTTACCATTCTTTATATTTGATATCAACCATCCTTTTTACTGATTTTAACTCGCCTTGCTCTCCCAATTCCATGTCTTATATCCACAATTAAATTTTGTTCTCTTTTTAGAAACTTGCAACATGGCCAAATATCACAGTTGAATCCTGGGCATTAGTCTGTTTCGTGCATAACTGCATATTCGAGGTTTCCTCTATTAGCTGGGCAGTTATGAGCTCACCTAGTAGCCTGCTTCTGCTGTTTCTTTTTTCTGGTTTGAGGATGCTAATCTTGCCCATCTTCAGGTTGCCGGGCCTTCTGGTCAGATGACTTGGATTCGAGGGGGGCCCAAGTCTCTGGATGCTGGCAACATCTTAGCAGCCATTGACAGCAGGTTTCTTTTTAGCTATAAGTTGTCTATGATGCTTGTTTTTATCTCAAGCACCTTTTTGGGCCAAGGAATTTTCTTAATTTATGATCATTGTTTATTAATTGTAGCATTTCACAAGCCAATTTGTATTTATTGCAAGCAAGTGCTCATACACTTGTCGCAAATCATCAATTTGGTAGGAAATCCATCACTTCTGCTTGCTTGGTTTCGTAGGCGTACGGCTTGTGACTGTAAAGGTGTGATACGCCCTAGGGTTTCTCAAATTCGATTTTGCCCTAATTCCCCTCAAATGAAGAGAATAATTCTTCTCAAAAAGCACAATTCCACGTAGAAGTAGATGAGAGGAACAAAACAAGATCAAAAGCAATGAATTCCCATTTTAAAATCACAAGAGTTGTGCACTTTGATGATTTTCGGATTAGGGCACAAACCTTCCAAAAAGATGAGGAAAAACTCTCAAAAAGGGCACAATCACAATAAAGAGAAGGGAATCCATATAGTATTGAAAGAGAAGCAAGTTCAACACAAAAGAAATATACTAAGAAATTTGTTTCCGCAATGAAATTATAACATTAATGACTCACTAAGTTAGGATTTTTAGTTTTTGTAGTTATGGACTTGCTTCTAGCATGCGGTTACACGTTAGATTAATAGAGCGATCCGAAATAATGGCAAGAAGATAGTAAACAAATATGTGATTAACAATAATCCACCACTTAATAATTAGAACTTTCACCTTAGAGTTTCCCTCTCGATCATTCTTTGGAAGTAGGTTTAGCGGAGTACAAAAGTTAGCAAACCTAGTGATGCCACTGCAGATAGAGGATGCCAGAGGTTCTGATCAATGGAGAGTTGGTCGGAGTTGGAGAGACGGGTGGTCGTCCTGCGATCTTCCACGATCCTGTAGGTTGTTGCTCTTCGATGACGTCCGCCAAAGTATAGAGAATACGCTCCACGTATTCTTCGACGGTGCCTTCGGACCCAAATATGGGATCGAAGAACGGTGATTGAATGATGTCGAATTCCTCTTGAGAATCGTAAATGAATATGTGATCAACTTCCGGATTTGCCATGCATTCTTGCCGGGCGATTAGAGAGCACCAATGGAGAGAAGAGGGAGAGGAGGTGGCGGGTGGGTGAGGTGTTGCGGTGGAGGTGGAAGCCGCCAAGTGAGAGGATCAACCAAGGGGAAGAGAGGGGAGGTGGAGGGCTCGGTGGGAGGAGTTGGTGAAGGGGGCGGCTAGAGCTAATTAGGATTTGGTGTAAGATTTATAAATCTGAAATTAATTTCAGATTAAGTAGAATTGGCTGGATGAATTTGAATTTAAAATTCAAATTCTAATTGAGGGAATTAACTTAGATGAGAGGGAATTGTGGGAGGTAATTAGGGAGGTTTAATGAGGGGGGCTATTAATGAAATTGGAGAGAGAGCTCATGGAGAGAGGCCGGCCATAGAGAGAGAGGGGAGATGGGAATTATGGCTAATTAAGTGGGGCCCACACACTAATCAAATGTTTAAAGAAAATATGAATTAAAATTTAGATTTTATAAAAAAGGAAGTTTCCTAATTTAAATGCAAGTAATTGGCAATCGTTTGAATTTTAAATTTGAATTGAAATTCAATTATGAAGATTGCCTAAAATCTTGGACTTATTTTAGGGAAGTTATCAATGCCTCGTGGGAAATTTGAATTTCAAAATTTTGATCCCAAGAGGAGGACGGCTGGTAGAGAGGTGGGGAGGGGAAATGGGTGGAGGGAGGCCGGCAGCTGGGGGGGGGGGGGAGGTGGGTGTTGGCCGGCAGTTGGGGGGTAGATGGGCGGTGGCCGGCGGCTTGGGCGGCCCAAGGAGGCCGGCGGCAAGGGGGATTTTGTGGAGGGGAAAATTAGGGCCGGGAAAAATAAGAGAAAGACTTGGAAAAATCAAGGAAGCTACGCACCTCAAGTGTCTCATCCCCAAGGACTCACAGAGAGATGTTGGGAATCTCGGAACTCACAAAGAGATCATTCTCCTCTCATGAACTCACTAAGAGATCAAACAAGTAGAATAAAATTTCATTAACAATTCATCATTATAAAATAATACAAAGACTAGGCCTTCATATATAGGCCTCCAAAATACAAAAATGTAAAAGACACAAATGCCCTTGGCCACAACATGACACAAATCCCTCATAGGGGGTACAAATGAAAAACTGAAATATAAATAAAAGAAATGCACTAAAACACATAAATAAAAACTATGAATCATAGCTGTCGATCTACGATCCTGCCGATGTCTAAATGTACGGTGGATGTTCTCATCAGACTTACACTTAAGTTTTTATGTTATGCTGATTGATAAGTACCAGTATTGTGGATGCCTGATAAGGCAACATTGTAAAGCTTTGATAATTGGATGGTTGAATCTGGTTTGAGATTAGTTGGTAGGTGGAAAAAAGGATAAAAAAGTTCAATGCTAAAATTTCTTGGGATTTTGCTCTCTTAAATGTGAGTGTTGAGAAGTCTAGATTGTTTAGAGCATTTTACGAGTTATGGCATGGATAAAGCTTTTAGTTTTTTACATTTCTTTGATTAGGGGACAAATTCCACTGAATAGTTTGATTTTATTTATTCCTTTTCCCCTGAAAGAGATATTGCATGATTCATTAATACCTCTAATGATTATTTGTACTTGATTCAGCTTGTCGAGGATGCAGACTGACTACATTGATCTCTATCAGATACATTGGCCTGACCGGTATGCACGCTTGTATATATCAGTAAATCTTTAATGCTGCAATATCTGATTTAGGTCAACCTTATGCTGATTAGTGTATATCCTATTCCTTGATTTTTCTACATTTCAACGCATGTTTTTCAAAGTTTTCATCTTCTAAGTTCAATTTTCTTCTGTATTAATAGTTATGTTCCCATGTTTGGTGAAACGGAATATAGTCCAAACTATCAGTACAACTCTGTTCCGATAGAGGAACAGTTTGATGCACTTGGTGAAGCTATTTCTGCAGGTAAGGTATGCTCTTAGATTTATTTTTGCACTGATATAGCTTGTTTTTGGATGCATTATCAGACTATATGATAACATATCAATCAATTTTGTAGATAAGATACATAGGTTTAAGTAATGAAACTGCATATGGGGTGATGAAGTTCCTTCAAATTGCTAAAGATGCTAACTTGAACCATAAGATAGTGTCCTTACAGGTCAGAAACTCATTTCTTTTTTAGTTGGTCAATAAAACATATTTCTATCCCTTATTAGCTTTTAAAGGTAATTTATGAGTTACTATCACAGAACTCCTACAACTTACTCTGTCGAAATTTTGACTCAGGATTAGCTGAATGCTGCCATCATGAAAGGTGACCTTTTTTTTCATCTTCCTATCTCTAATTGTGTACAATTTATTTGCTGCTTTAATCCGTCTTGCTTTATTTGTGTCATACAACTTCAAGAATTCTTATAGACTGGAAGCTATGCTTTTCTGCTTTCATTGGCAAACCAAAAAAGCATTTTTTTTTCCTTCTGATTTTGTTGGCAGTTGATATTTTTTATATTTCGACTTATAGTTTTTAGCCTCGTACTCTTCTTCAAGTAAGGTTCTTCTAAGAATCCGTAACTTGATCCATTCTCTTCTCTATCTGGCTTGTTTAGAAAGGCTAAGATCTTTAATGTGAATTTTTTATTATGTTTAATTTGTTATATATTTTTAAGAAAATTAGTAAAATATTTTATCATTTTCTTTTCTTACTTGTTACATATTCCCTGCCTCTGATAAAAAAATTGCACCTATAAATAATCTCATGAAAGATTCTTACAACTTTTATGTTGTGGAATTAGAATCCTTTAAAATAAAATATTGATTTTGCTGGCTCCAAAAATTTGTGATTGGCTCTCCTGAGAATGGAACTTCTTGGTCAATTTTCTGTAAACTGATTAGATTATATAATACACCATCTAGAGATTTAACCCTCACTTTACGAGGACTTGACATGGATTCCCATGCGTGCAGGCCCCCATTATTAATTACTGCTTTTGATGATGAGAGAGAATTTTCAATTATGGTTAGTCAATGGGAGATAAGTGCTTAGCGAATAAGAGCAATGTTGAGATTAAGATAGAGCAAATCTACCACATTTAGCTTAATGCAGATGATGAGAGGAATGACGAAGGAACTAGCCATGATCACATTGGTTCTATCATCCTGGATTTCATAGACTCTTGCTTATTTAGAGGATGCTGTCAACCCAATTTGATCAAGGATCTTGTTTGTTGCCATTAGTTGCTTCTTCCGATGATGAGAGGAATGATGACGAAACTAGCCATGATCACATGTTTTTATCATCCCAGATTTTCATAGACTCTTGCTTAGTTAAAAGATGCAGTCAACCTAATTTGATCGAGGATCTTGTTTGTTGCCATGAGCTGCTTCATTGGATGGGACTTTGTGGACCCAGGGTGCATGCTTTTTGATGGGATCTTAAACCCAAAACTTTAAGTCGACTTTAGATAATAAAGAGTTTTATATGCTATCAAGTGCATCGTATGATTCACAACTCAAAGATATGGAGCCATTGAGGAACATACGGGCTATGATCATGATTATAATATAATGACACCATTTTATGATGAACTATCCGGTTATGACTTTTAGTGGTGCAATTTGGCGGTAAAGTCATCTAATTAGTGGGTATTTGTCATGTTATTACGATGAAAGATTATTTGAGAGTGAACAAAGTGACACATTTGATATGATACTGACACTTTTGTGAGCTAATATAATATCAAAGTTATCACCCTAGATAAATGATTGTGGATTGATGGATTATTGGTTTTATCTTTGGACAATAGATTTCACTTGAATATTTTTATAAATAATTTTTTTTTTTTTTATGAATTTTCCTATTTTAACATAAGTTAGGCCCATAATTATTTATTTTGGAGTTTGGGGGCACTTTAAAAATAGGACCCCTTTCTATTGAGATTCGCCTAGTCTCCACCTCCCTGTCTCTAGCCGGCCGCCCCCTTATTCCCCACCCCGAAACCTCCCAGCCGCCTATTCCCACCATCCCGCGCCCACCTAGTCCCGACCACCCCTCCCCACCGCCTAGCTCCACTGTCCAGACCATCTTTCCTCACTAAACCGCCAATTCCTTCCCCCCATAACCCTTGAATTTTGAATTTCAAAATTCAAATCCATCATTCATCACTTTCCTAAAATAATCCTACCAATTAGGAAATCATATTTATTTGAATTCAATTCAATATTTGAATTCAAATAATTCCCTCCCTAATCAAGTTCAAATTAGGAAACATCCCTACCATTAATCAAAATCTGAAATTAATTTCAGATTTGATTTCAATCAACATTTAATCCTCATGGCCCACATACAACGAACCTAGACACCTTGTTCCTCCCTCATGTGGCCGGCCTTTTTATTGGGCCTCTCTCTCTTCCAATTTAATCCCAAATCCCCACTATATCAGCCCCTAATCTTCTCCTAATTGCCGCCCCTAGTCCTTAATGGATTAATTTGAATTTTCAAATTAATTCCCCCCAAATCCACTTAAAGCTGAATTTAATTTCAGATTTCTAAATTTCCTGTATTGCTCACCCAATTAATGCCCATCAAAAGTGCCGCCCCTATCTAGTCCATTCAGCGGAGAATTCCCAAACTCCTCTTGCAGCCACTAAATTCCTGCACAAGAGTTCCACGTTCCAGCTGTCCTAGATATCCAATTTTCTGGTCTGCCTCTTCACAGCTTGCTACCAAGAAGAACCAACCCAATTTCCTCACTGTTCTGCGACCTGAAGTCACCCCGATTGCTGTCCCGAAACCCTCCAAGGGCTGTTACAGGTTTTTTTGCCATTACAACTGCTGTCCAGTGAATTGGAGAGATCACCATTGCTGTCCATTGTCCACTAATATCAAAATCAGCAAGCATAATTGTCCAGGATGACGTCATAGCTGCTGTCCAGCAATTCTGCAGGCTTCCTTGCACCACACCCTCACCCGGGAGACCCCAACCACTGTCCAGAATTCCATACTTATCCCAGACTGCTGTCCAAATTTCGTAGATTACAGAGGTGGCTGATTTGAGGTCATCCATCGCTGGTTACTGCTTGAAAATGGTGAACTCTTTCCCTAATCCTTATTTCCATAGTTACTCTATTTTGTGGTTTAATTGATTCATAAGAAATCTTGTTAATTGTTCTCCGCTTAATCCTAGAGTAGGGAGAGGATTTCATCAGAGGGACTAATCTTATTGTTAGCATTGGGATTTAATGTTTATTTACAATTCTATTTTTTTTTTTTTTTACTTTAGTCATGTTTGGATCCAAAAGTCATTTAAGTTCGTTCCGTTCTGTTTTGAGTATTGTCACTGAAATTGTCAGCAACAATGCAACATTCTAACATCGGCACATCGCCCTATGTAGTGGGCATTGAGAGGAATACTAGGCTGGTGCATTATGTCAAGAAAGGTCTGTATGAATGGTGAAAATACCATGGCTTGATCTTCTACTCCATCACACCAAAAAAGGTACGCATAGGTCTTTGTACATGTACAAAATTCTTACAATGAAGTTTCCTTGCAATGTCATTGGAGTGTGCACAAGATTTTATTTAGGATGCTACAAATGCCTTCTATCCGCTTATGCGAGTGTCGCGGATTCAGTGACTTGTAGGCGCATTAGATTTCAAATGTTGTATATAGGAGAGATATTGTTTAGTTCACTTTGACTCCTTTATGTTATCACTTACCACTGTTCGTATTAGGAAAGCATATTTATTTGAATTCAAATAATTCCCTCCCTAATCAAGTTCAAATTAGGAAACATCCCTACCATTAATCAAAATCAACATTTAATCCTCATGGCCCACATACAACGAACCTAGACACCTTGTTCCTCCCTCATGTGGCCGGCCTCTTTATTGGGCCTCTCTCTCTTCCAATTTAATCCCAAATCCCCACTAAATCAGTCCCCAATCTTCTCCTAATTGCCGCCCCTAGTCCTTAATGTATTAATTTGAATTTTCAAATTAATTCCCCCCAAATCCACTTAAAGCTGAATTTAATTTCAGATTTCTAAATGTCCTGTATTGCTCACCCAATTAATGCCCATCAAAAGTGCCGACCCTAGCTAGTCCATTCAGTGGAGAATTCCCAAACTCCTCTTGCAGCCACTAAATTCCTGCACAAGAGTTCCACGTTCCAACTGTCCTAGATGTCCAATTTGCTGGTCTGCCCCTTCACAGCTTGCTACCAAGAAGAACCAACCCAGTTTCCTCGCTGTTCTGCGACCTGAAGTCACCCCGATTGCTGTCCCGAAACCCTCCAAGGGCTGTTACAGGTTTTTTCTGCCATTACAACTGCTGTCCAGTGAATTGGAGAGATCACCATTGCTGTCCACTATCCACTAATATCAAAATCAGCAAGCATAATTGTCCGGGATGACGTCGTAGCTGCTGTCCAGCAATTCTGCAGGCTTCCTTGCACCACACCCTCACCCGAGAGGCCTCAACCACTGTCCAAAATTCCATACTTATCCTAGACTGCTGTCCAAATCTCGTAGATTACAGAGGTGGCTGATTTGAGGTCATCCACCGCTGGTTACTGCTTGAAATTGTGGTGAACTCTTTCCGTAATCCTTATTTCCATAGTTACTCTATTTTGTGGTTTAATTGATTCATAAGAAATCTTGTTAATTGTTCTCCGCTTAATCCTAGAGTTTAATGAGTTGAGTGAGAGGATTTCATCAGAGGGACTAATCTTATTGTTAGCATTGGGATTTAATGTTTATTTTCAATTCTATTTTTTTTACTTTAGTCATGTTTGGATCCAAAAGTCATTTAAGTTCGTTCCGTTCTGTTTTGAGTATTGTCACTGAAATTGTCAGCAACAATGCAACATTCTAACATCACACCCTATGTAGTGGGCATTGAGGGAATACTAGGCTGGTGCATTATGTCAAGAAAGGTGTGTATGAATGGTGAAAATACCATGGCTTGATCTTCTACTCCCATCACACCAAGAAAGGTACGCATAGGTCTTTGTACATGTTCAAAATTCTTCCAATGAAGTTTCCTTGCAATGTCATTGGAGTGTGCACAAGATTTCATTTAGGGGTCTACAAATGCCTTCTGTCCGCTTATGCGAGTGTCGCGGATCCAGTGACGTGTAGGCGCATTAGATTTCAGTTGTTGTATATAGGAGAGATATTGTTTAGTTCATTTTGACTCCTTTATGTTATCACTTAGCACTTTTCGTAGAGGATGTTTGCTCAATAGGCACTAGGAGATTGTGCTCTTACTTGTGAGTGAGTTACATCATTTTCTACGAATCTCCTATTGCTGCCTGTAGGCTAGTTGTGTGCACTACCAATTCCCTACTCTTACTTACAGATGAATTGTAGTGTTTTTATAAGTTTGTTAATATTACGCATAAGCAAATTGCTTTCAAAACAAATCATTTGTTGTTGCTTGTAAGTGAGTTGCATTAAGTGGAAGTCCTCTAATGTTGCCTGTAAGTGAGCCTCTATGCACATTAAGAGTCCTTATTTATGCTCATAAACAAGTCATGTTTATTAGAAGCCTTTTGTTAATGCCTGTAGGTGAGCTGCTGTTTACATTACATGTTCATTATAAATATGACTAAGCTCTTTTGTTTATTCCATTACAAATTCACTTAGTTCTTTGATTTTACAAATCACATTTAATTTCATTAAGATTTTAGAATATTAATTTAGGTCCGATTCCTTGCTTGTGCTCAATATTTTTCGATCAGAGCATCGAGTTGTGCTTCAATGTTCTCATTTTTTGTTCTCGATGGTCATTTAAGTTTTCTTTTCATTGCATTGTTAAATTAGTAGATTATTCTTAAAGGTTCCTTTTGTCATAGGAAAATTCGGTATTCCTGGTGTCTCTTCACCACGAAGGGAGGTTGGTAAGTCACTTTCCTTTTAATCTTTTCTATTGGATCAAAGATACGACGACGTGAGATCTTCGTATCAAATTTTTCCTGGCCGGATCAAAGATATAATAGTGTGAGGTCTTAAAATTAAGTATTCCTGATCGGATCAAAGATACAACAACTCAGGTCTTCAAATTAAGTACATGTTGCTTATAATTAATTTTATTTAATTTGAAAATAAAATATTCCTTGAAAATCAGGTAGTCTCACGGCGTCCCCCCATTGCGAATGGAGGTTGGGATGACACTTGCCATTGGTTCTTTCCGATCGGATCAAATATACGACGACGCGAAGTCTTCAAATCAAATTCTTCCCGACCAGATTAAAATACAACATTGCGAGGTCTTTAAATCAAATTCTTCTCCCAGTCAGATCAATGATACAACGGCGGGGTATTCATTACTTGTCATTTGATCAAGTAATTAAAAAAATATACATTTTAGTTTTAGCGCCGCTGACAGTGAAGGATTGATCGAATCAAAGGAGCAGGGGAGGAAGCGGATCGGGTCTCTGGTGCTTTGGGTCGGAGTTCGATTGGGGCAGCGTGAGAGTAGACATTGGCTGCTGTGTTGGAAAGGACTAGGGAGTTTGGCTGAATGGAGAGCAGAGGGGATTCGATTGGAAGCCGGTTGCTGTGGTGAGGCGAGGGAGTTTGATGTGGAGGAGCAGTGCAGCTTGCTATACGTGAACTAAGAAAAGAGCGGAGGGAAGACGGAAGAGGGCTGGGCGTATAGTGGAGAGATGGAGAGGCAGAGAGGAGAAGTGAAGTTCGGCTACAGGTGGAGGTGGGTTTGTGAGGAGTGGTGGTGGATCGGTAAATTGATTTTTCCGTTGATATGGGAAGTTCTCATTTTTTTGGTAAATTGAAAATGAACTGTCTATAGTTTAAGAATTCTTGGCAACAAGTTTCTCCATATTCCTTGCTAGTTCACCGTGAACACAAGCCAGGTCTTCAGTCAAACTCATCGTGCGCCTTCAAGAACTCCTCCAACATATCCTTCTTTTGTCTTTTAAAATTTTGAACCTAAACAAACTCAGAGTTACATTTGTCTAGGAAAAAAAATAAATAATGCAATTTGTAGACATGAACTTTGTCATCATTAAAACGATGCACAAAAAAAGAAAAAAAAAAAAAACTTTTAACATCATAACATTTACCATTCTCCTCTCCATCAAAAAGGAACATGGGTGAGAACTTTTGGTTTTGCAGGCTCATGCAACTAAATGCCCGTATTATTATTAGTCTTAGATTTAAAAGTCATCATCAGATCTCCATGGCTTTCTTCATCAACATAAACACTCATTTTTGAGGAAGAATGGCTAGGGACTGATAGATTTCTCATCTTCTTTTGGGCTAGAAAGAACTTTCCCTTCCATTTATAGGTCGAACACCGCCTTGCCCTTCCTTTACAATCCCATTGCTATATGGTAGCTCAACTTGAAGAACTAATGATCATTCCTTTTTCTTCCTTAGATGGTGATCATTATGTCTCTTTGAATTAGAAGAGAGACCTTTCTTTAATAAACACTCCTCATTTACAAAGTGATGAATCCTAAATAGAGGCTTCCTCAATGATTTTATATTCTTGGTTGTCTTGAGCAAGCCATCATATCATTCTCATATCTGTTTAAAGTAGTCAGTTGATGTAAGAGTCTCCTTCACTTTGGAATATTGTAGTCATTTCAAACAAAGAAAAAATACTTGTCTAATTCTTGGGTGCTACGTTGATGGAAAACATAGCTTTTACTTTTTTACTTTAGTAAGGTACTTTGCTCCTGGTGGCATACTTAAAGCTTTCACAATTCTTGAAGCATCAGAGCTAGCCTTAAAAAAATCGGCCTTAAAAGAAAGTTGCCAACTCAACAATAATGTAGGTTAGCCTTGAAAGGGGATTGCACAAGAGAAACATTAAAAAAGGTAACAGATTTCTATTAGCTCAAATGCTACTAGAGAAAACCACTCCCATCATAAACATTTCAATTTCAAATATTAGAAAATACCAGGAAGGAGGCTTGCCAACCTTATTTGATTTTGTTTGGCAAACGAATACATTGCTTGGCAAGTGGTACCGCCATCAAAGATAAACTATCTTCTTGGCTAACATTGCTTAAATATCTCTAACTTGAGTCAGAACACACTCGTCTCCCCATTAATAAAAAGAAAAAGAAATAGTTAAGCTAGATGATGGGGACATCGGAGCTTGGAAAGTCTATTAGAGGCGTGGCCACCGACCTACGGCCACGATCGCGCCGATGTATTTTTAAGATTGTCATATATATTTGTCTTTTATTTATTTATGTTTGTATTTTCTTTAGTTGTTTTCCTTTTTACCCTTTGCTTAAGGGCGGTCATGTGTAAGCCCAAAGGGCATCGTCGTCTTTTATTTTTTAGTCCTTTGTATGAGGCTATATATAGCCATTATGTTCTCTTTTCATGGGTAATGAATGAATGAATGATAAAATTTTTTTCGTGTTTTGAGTTCTTGTGAGAGGTTGAGAAAGATTGGAGAGATATCCCTTGAAGGGATTGGTATCACCCATCAGCCTTGAAGAGTCTGGACTCGCGGCTAGTTCGTCGTATCACATCTTCCTTCTTCTCCACCCTAACCCGCCGGCCCATATCACCGCTAGCCCACTTACCCAAGCCCCACCCCACCACCGGCCTTTTCCCAACCAAACCCCAAGCCAAAGCCCATCCCCCCCTTGGGGTATCTCTCCATTAATGCTTGCAATTACCTCTTTCCTAATTGGGTTTTAAAAATATTTTAGGTAACTCAATTATTTTACAAATTCAAATTTATTTGAATTTGAAAAGTTACTTAAAATACCAATCCTAATTTAGAAAGTTACCAAATTTCAGCTCTTTGAATTTTTAAATTAATTGAGAATTAATTAGGGCCTTCCTAATTTAATAATACAATTAAAGAAGGCTTGAGTTTATTTCCCCAAACCCCTCTCTTTTTCTCCATGCCGCCGGCCCCCTCCTTGGGTCCCCACCTCCTAATTACTTTCCAACTTCAAGCTATTCCTCTTTGGGAAGAAATCAAATCCACTTTCCTTCCCTCTTAGCCGCCCCCACCCTTTCCTAAATACACCCAAATCCTTTCCAAACTAAATGGATTAATTAGGGAAACAATTGCTTGATTTCCCTCCACCTATTTTCTTCTAAAATCTGAACCTAAGTCTTGCTCCACACCCTCACCCTTGGCCGGCAACAACTCTCCCTCTTTCCCTCTTGAATTTGCAAGACAAACCCCTCCCTCTCAACAGGAGTCTTCAAGGGAAGCCACGACGAACGTCTTCAAACATTTCAACTCCTCGGAACCAATGAATGGCCGATCTTGATCTTGATTTCAGATTCATTTATAACGAGCAAGGAGTCGTTGACATTCTCCGGTCAACCTTCGATTTCAACCCGAAAACTGACAACTCCGTCGAAGAATACGTGGACCGCATCATCTTCACACTTTCCGAAGCCCTCGAAGAACAACTTGCCAACGTTCAGTGGTAAATTGTTTCCGGACCTTGACAAGGGTGAACTTCTTCCCCTATTCGCTTATTTTCCTAATCCACTAACCTTGTAGGTGGTGATTTAAAAGCAAGATTTCGTGCTTCGCTCTCTGTCTCCGCTTAGTAAACGTAGGATTTGAGTTTACTTTCTTTGTTGCTTATCTCAATGTTAGATTGAAGATTTTATTGAATAGCTACTTGATTTGCATCTTGTTGGATTTCTAACTTAATTTGGTGGTTCATGTTTCTAGCTTGCGATTTGACCTAAGCGTAGTTACCCCTCATTCGTTTTCTATCGTTGTTTTGTGGCTAATAGTTTTAATTATTATTTGCTCTTATCTAAGAGAAATGTCTTTGAAATTCACAACCCACAACACAAATTTTCTATGTGTGAGGAAAGAAGAAAAGAGAAGAGAATGACCAAGAGTCAATAAAATCTTGGAGAAATGGTGGAGGAAGGAAGAAGAATAGCACAATTCCTTAAAAGAGACCCTTTCCTAACAAACCCTGTTGGTGGTCACCTGACATCGAATTCCAATTGTTTGTTGGCAAAAACCAGCTACACAACAATCGTTATCAAACTTGGTACTAGTTGGTTTCTAGCTATAACCACAAGTAATTGACAACCAAAACTTTCAATATCTACTTGTAGACAACAACAAGCATGACTACTGCTAGTGGGTTTCCCCCCATAAGATGCAGCCCCATAATTGTCTCCAACAAATGTTCATGCGATCACATGCAAAACTGCGAGAGTCAACACCAAAATTTGTTGTTTCAGTCTTTGCACCAACAAAAATGAGCTCAAATCATGCAAGAATTAGCTCAAGACTATCACCTTCAAGGCCCATGGAGTGTGAACTATGCCTGAGGCCTGGCCTATCCAAACTTGGGTGATTTGCACATGAATCAACCAACTTGCTTATCAAGCCCATGGAAAATGGGCCAAATGGATCGAGCTTAAAATTGGACCTACTCAATAGGACTTACGAAAAAATGGAAGACCGCTTATAATTAAACATCAAAACAAGCTTCATAGAAGCAAGAACAAGTCAAAGGATACTTTTCAGGTATCAAATGTAGAAGTTTTGCATCCATGGGGTCAACTTATGAATCTCAATCCACAAGTCAAAGAGGATATCCACGTTGATATTATAGAAGTGATTGTGGACTAATAAGATTAAGGCTAAATTCTTGGACCATAATTATTGAAAACTTATGACATGATCCATCTTGTAGATATAATTTTGGATTGTTTACAAGGAACTTATAGTATAAGGGCAATTAATACGTTCATATAAAAAATATATTAGTTTATCTTTAACGTTCATACAATGGTGTCATGGTTCTTGCTTTTATAATCACTTTTTGACTGGGGTAGGATGAGGCGATAGTACTTAATCACATCCATGGAATCACTTCAAGATGTGTGAAAGCCCCTTTAAATCCAAATAATGAAATGATGATCTTAAATATCAAGCAATATATTTGCGTTTAGCTCAAATCACACTTGATACTAATCTTTAAGCTATCCAATGCCTAATTTTGATATTTGGCAACACATATCAAAACGTGAAGGATCCATCCATCTGTTCACCACCTCAGGGGCAATGATCCAACATCGATCTTAGAGATGATGTGTCTCTTCTTAACTCTTTGATCCGTCAGAGAGCTAAAATAACTTTCATTATGGTTTTTCTGCCCGACACAAATCTTACATGTGAATTATTTTCTCTTGGCATCCATCATCTCAAAAATAGACTGCCATTCAACTTAACACCTGTAAATTGTTTCCTTTTGGGGAAAAATAAAATAACTTCAAACCTTATAAACTATTTCAATTTTCTTGAGTCACTTGATATAGACTAGGCAGTGCCTTTGTTTTCTAAACTGTCAATCACGCTTTACTAACATAAGGATTGGAGTTTCTTCCTGAAAAACATTCGTTGGGGCAGACTAAATTTTTTGTTTGGTTGTAGGTCTAAAGGTTTTGGTTTGAGAAGATCTAAAACGGAATATATTGATGTAAAACTTGCATGCAAAGATGAGTTACTTAATGAAATTTGCACGCTTAACATTTCAAAAACAATATTAAATAAAACTTATGCCGATTTAAATGCTAAGATAAAACAATAAGGCGATAAAACAAGCTTAGGCTAATCACATGCATAGGAGTTAAGGTAGTAAAATAATCAATTAATCTAACATTGCGTTCGTAGTTGGTTTTCAACGATAATCCCTAAACTAACAATGAGATTAGTCACTAAGAGATATCCCTCACTTAACTCTCTAATATACTAGACTTTAGCGGAGAGAATTAACACGGTCCTAGTGAATCAAAGTAAAACCACAACCGAAGACGACTAAGGTAAATGATTTAGAGGATTAGCTCACCGTCGTCAAGGCTTAGCAACCATCCATGTTTATTGGAGTTCGGACTTCGGGACAGCAGGTAGGGGATTCCCGGAGGGTTTAACATCAGTTCTTCTTACTAGAATTCCTGGGACAGCAATCTGTCAATATCCAGAAATTCTGGACAACAAGCGGGGCCGTTCCAACAACCTGGACATCAAACTACCTTGCTGAAAAGTGTAGGACAGCAGCCCTCGAGGTGGACAGAACCTTGGGCAGCACTTGTGGGGAGACTAGGGATGCTGAACAGCTGGCAGTGACCTTCACGTGGTGCAGGACAATAGGTTGTCCTCTCTGAAATTCTGGGACAGCACTCAGTAATACCAAAGAATAGAAGAAACCAAGAGGGAGAAACTGTGAGGGTCAGCTGCTAGCGTTGAGATGGAATTAGGGATTGATTGGAAGGTTTAAGGGAGGGAATTAGTGTGAGTTAATTAGTTTGTGGAGAGAGCTAGAGAGAGTGAAGGCTGGCCATAGGGAAAGGAGGGGAAAGCGTTTAGGTTCGATGTATGTGGGCCCTTGATTTCAATTATTGATTGAAATCAAATCTGAGATTTAATTTCAGATTTGATTAAATTAGGGAGGCTTCCTAATTGGGTTGTATCATTAGGGAAAGTATTTGAATTCAAGTATTTAATTGAATTCAATAAAGGAAACTTTCCTAAATTGATAGGAGTTATTTTAGGAAAGTAATCAAAAGAAATTTGATTTTTTTTTTGAATTTCAAAATTCATGATATAGAATTGATTTCAAATAAAGATACTTTCCAAATATAGCTATGTCGATTTAGGAAGTTATTTGAAATTCAAATTTGAATTTCAAATTGATGAGTTATCTTCCTAAATCACTTGGGTGAGTTTTGGTAAGTGGTAATGATGATGGAAATCATCATGAATGGTGGGAGGGACCTAGGTGGCCGGCGGCAAGGAGGTGGAGGGGCGGCGGGTAATGGGGAATCACGTGGAGGTGTTGAGGCCATCGATTTGGAGAGAAAGGGAGGGGATTGCCGGTGGTATAGGGGAAGAGGGAAGAGGAAGATGAAGACTAAAATAAAGAACCAAGAACCCACAAAGAGATCGTAGAACCGCGAACCTTGGACTCTTCCAAAGGTTGACGGGTATTGCGATTGCCCACACCTTGAGTCTTCCTTCTTCTCTCAAACACTCAACATTGAGGGAGATAAAGAGAATTCTGAATTTTTACTAATCAATCATCATCCTACAATACAAGAGAGTTAGCCTATAAATAGGCCTAATGAAAAGAAAAATAGCAAAGACTAAAATGCCCTTCGGGCTACAACACCACATGACCACTCCTAAGGGTAAAATAGGAAAAACAGTAATTTAAGATAAATTAGTACATAAGACATAAAAATAAAATAAAATAAAAGAAAATAAGCTCTAGATCGTAGCCGTTGATCTTCCGATGTCCTCATCATATATGGAGTGTAATTTTGGTAGTAATAGACCTAGTGAGGGGATTGTGACTTTGGGCAATCAAGTTATTAATAAGAGTACACGTTTTAGATATCTTGGATCTATTGTTCAGAGTGATGGTGAAATAGATGTGGATATTATTAGCATAATTCAAGCTGGATGGTTGAATTGGAGGAATGCATCGGGCTTGTTGTGTGATAGAAAAGTACCCTCAAACTCAAGGGAAAATTCTATAAGATGGTGGTGAGACCTGCAATGCTTTATGGTGCCGAATGTTGGCCATTAAAAGAGAAGCATAACACTATGTTGAGTGTGGCAGAGATGAGGATGCTCAGGTGGATGAGTGGCTTCACCCTTAGAGATAGGATATTAAATGAGCATATACGTGAAAAGGTTGGAGTAGCTCCAATAGAAGTAAGATTAGAGAGAGTCGCCTTAGATGATTTGGTCACATAAAACGGGCCTTCCGATGACCCGGTTAGGAGAGTAGATGTATTAGATTTGACTTATGTTAAGAAAGATAGAGACAGACCTAAAAAGACTTGATTAGAAAATATTTGGAATGACCTTTCCTTATTAGATTTAAACAAGAATTGACTTTTAATAGAACACAATGGAGAAAAAAGATTCATGTAGTTGACCCACGTCATGGGATAAAGGCTTGATGTTGTTGTTGTTGTTGTTGTTGCTGTTGTGTGCAAGAAGAGATTGTTCTGTATGAATGATATGCCCTAAAAGTCCTCTACCTTTTGGTTATTTCTGGTATGGAGCAGATGTGAAAGTTTTTTATTCATTTTGTGTGCATTAACATTTCGGATGTCTGATAAATTCCAATCAACCGTCACCATTGTTCTTCTTTTGACTTTCGAATGGCTTGACATTCCCATTATTTCATCGTTGACACACTTATTTAAGGCTTTATTCTTTTATTCAATTAGTTCATGGGTAGAATATATAAGCTCTTTTAGCTTAATTGTTGTAAGAAAAATTATTTAAGCATTTTTTTCACGAAAGGATGTAGGATTATCTGAAGGTAAATGTCCCATGAAAGCCAGATGCTTTATGCCTAGGTTAATTCAAAAATAGAGAAGTTAGTAGCTGTATCTTAGTACTAAATAGCATTATTAAGTTTTGTGGAAACAACTGAAACTGAGAACATGTTGTAGAGTTTGAAGTTTTCGTTTGTATTGCTTACCATACATAATGAAGAAAATCATCTTTTAACTCTACTGGATGATGATGTGGGCTGACTGAGAATCATTTCTTAGACAGTTTGAGTCATATTGCCGGTGTTTACTTATGGTGTCAATTGTTTATAATCACATATTTTGTGATAATGCATGTCTGTTAACATTACAATCTCTTGTTCATTGAAAACTCTTCAGGATTAGCTTGTTGGCCTACAGTCCAATGGCTATGGGAATACTCTCAGGAAAATATTTTTCTACTGATGCTGGCCCAAATGATGCAAGATTCAATATATACAAAGGTTTTGAGCCAACAATGATACATTCAATTCAACTATATTATGTGCTTGAATGTGTTAATTTTGCCTTTTTTTTCTTTGGCAGGAAAGTATTCTGAAGGTGAATCGAGATACAATCTTTCAAACCCTATTATGAAAGCTGCTGTTCTAGTATGCATCGTTTTCTTTGCTAGTTTTACTTAATAACTTAAAAAAAATATCTGATAGTGTGTTAGAAAGGAAAACCTACTCATATGGAAGTACTTGAATAAAAGTTTTTGAAGATAAGAGGCATATATTTCAACACAATGACAACAACATCAAATCTTTATCGCATTACGTGGGGTCAGCTACTTGAATCCTTTTTCTCCATTATGTCATGTTAAGAGTCAAATTCTCATTGAAATCTAATAAAAAATGTCATTTCTAATATTTTCTAACCAAGCCTTTTTAGGTCTACCTCTAACTTTCTTAACATAAGTCAAATCTAATACATCTACTCTCCTTACCGGGCCAACGGAAGGCCATCGTTTTATGTGACCAAACCATCTACGACAACTCTCTCTAATCTTATTTGTCACCGGAGCTACTCCAACTTTTTAACATATATGCTCGTTTCGTATCCTATATCTAAGATTAAAGTCACTCATCCACCTGAGCATCCTTATCTCTACAACACTTAACTAAGATGATCAGTTTCATTTCTTCGTATAAGTACGCCCCAATTCATAACTGTCGATGGCGCAAAATAGCGCGCGCCATGGCGCACAGCGCTCAAAATAGCATGCCGCGCCGTGCGCTATGTGCCATGGCTCCAAAGGGACCTTTGCGCCATGGTGCGCCATTCGCCGCTAACAGGTATGCGCTCCATACTCCCAAGACTCGGGGAATCATATGAGTTGGCGAATTAATAAGAGCATTGCTTGATGCATGATTATTAGCTAGTGGGACAGGTGCGGGATGATTGACAGTATTCTTTAACATCAGTTGCATCATCATGGTCATTCGTGCCATTGCATTGGTCACCTTGGCATTGAGTTGGGAGATTTTCTTGTCTTTTGCCTTCATTTGTTGCTGCATTTGTTTTTTTTTTGTTAGATGAATAACGGCTCCTCTTCTTCTCCTCATTTTTGTTGGTCATCTTTTGAGGAGGAACTTGAATACTCTTTTTGATCATACTATTCTTGTCCTCTAAGAGGGGCATTAGATCCAACCTCATGGTGCTATTGAGGGGGGCTCATTGTTACGTCCCACCCTGTAGATTGATTTGACTTCCATGGTTTCTTCTTTGTTTTCTTCTTGCATTTGGATTTTCAAACGGCATCTCCATTGGACTTCTAGTTTATTTTATGGGATCAAGAGCTTCTCATTCGGGGGAATGAGATTGAAATTGACCTTTTCTGTGAGTGTGGAATTGGTTGTCAACGGGATCTCTTGGAGGATGCTCCAATGTGTTGACTATCATGGATATTAATGAGAGGGACCTTTGTTGGAACCTATTATTGTCGACCTTTATCATAGGTGGATCTTTACGAGTACGCACTTGATATCATGAATTTTTTTCTTCAATAATTTTTTTTTTCTATGGGTTTTGACCTCGATATCTTCTTGCCCTTCTGTGGGGTTCTTTCGGTGGCAAATTCTTGGGCTCGTGGTTCTGCTTACCCATTCTTCTTCATTAGTTGAATTGATGACTGACAACTACTATAATTTTATTTGTAGGAATACATCGGTATTGCCAAAAAGTATGGCATTTCTCCTGCATGTCTTGCAATTGGTATGTCATCTGAAACTTCACTTGTATGTATTTAAATATATATACACCTCTGGTTTTAATGTGTTCACTATATGTCTTAAGCTCTCGAGCGGTTCAGAATATATCCGTTGCATGCGCTATTCAAACTCGTAAACTATAACATGAAATCAAAACTTGATCAACAATCATTTAATAATATAGTTTCTGTCTCTTTGTTAAACCAAGTTCTGTGACCAAACTGACTATAGTATAATCCAATCATGTGCAGATTGAAATTCTTTAACCATTTGTCCATAATATAATGACAAACTATATTTTGGTGAACATGGCATCGCAAATGATACCACTTTTCTTTATATTTATATATAGAAGTTCTAACCAGCAGTTGCAATGCAATATTCAGCTTTTGTGCTGGGTCATCCTCTTATTGGCAGTGTAGTGTTCGGTGCAACCAAAACTTCACAACTAAAGGAGGTTCTAGAAGCTTCGAAAATCCATCTTTCGGTAGAAATAGTTGATGAGATTAACAAAGTACACGCCACATATCCAAATCCTTGTCCTTGATAGGAAAATTGCAATGTTCTTTTATAGTAGATGTTTTTTTGTCCAACCAAAACTCAATTGGTGGGCTAAAACTGGCTCTCTAAGCTGGGTTCAATGACAAGTAAACAATCTCCATGCCCATGCCACAGTACATAGGTGAATTTTTTTCTTACTGTAGAGTTTGTTCTTTTCTGGTTGATTTTTTTGTATTTTTACATGCATCAAGGGTTCAGAGATCTTATAAAACTCATTTTTTCTGCCGTAAGTTTGGAATGGCTTTGTAGGTTCTAAATGTAGATATATTTTGTGATTTATTTTAGGAGTAAAAACTGAAAATAGTTCCCTGACTATTAATAAATGTCTAATTTAATCTTAAATTTTTATGATGACTCAATTTAGTATCCCGACTATTAGAAAATGCATCAATTTAATCCCAAGGTCAAAGTGATAGTTATAATTAACCTCAACAATTAAATGTGAGGGTTTTTTTTGGGTATTATGGTGTATTTGATTATATTAATTCTTTTTATTTTTTTATTATTTATCATATTAAAATAAATACAAAAATTATAATGAAAGTTAACCAATTAAATAATCAGAGTGAATATTAAATAAATGTGATTAACTTCCATTATAAATTTTATATTTATTTTAATATGACGAATGATAAAATATATAAAATTAATAATATAATAGCACATATACCGTTATATCCAAAATGCCCTCACATTAATTGTTGCGGTTAACTTTAACTATTACTTTTGGCATAGAGACTAAATTATGATATTTTCTAATAATTAGGAGATTAAATTGGGCATTATGAAAGTCTTGAGCTAAATTGAGCATTTATGGGGCTTAGGCTTCGTTGGGGACGGCTTTTTTACTGCTTCTTAAAGCATCTTTTTAATAGAAAAATTTTAATTATTAAACTAGAAAGCTGCTTTAAGAAATAGAAAAAAAGCTGTCCCAAACAAGCTTTAATTTTTGCAGTTTGCTAGAAGAAATAAGGTCTACCTTCAAAGTGGCTCAATAGGGCTTTCTAAGTAGTATTCTAGGTGACTTAGGTCATATGCAATAGTGCAAGTCCACTTCTTTAAGAGCTACTCTTAAACATGCATTTGTGTCTGATTTTGATATGTTGATCTTTAGCAAATACAGATTGAATAAAATTGGTCTGAACTAATTGTATAATCATCTCATCTTTTAGCTATGTTATTTAAAAAAAAAAGAACCCTAATTTTCCCAAAGAATGCATCTCTTTTAATTGTTGAGTTTGATTAAGGCTTCGTTTGGGACGACTTTTTTTTTTATTCTTAAAGTGATTTTTTTAATATAATTTTTTTTAAGTTTTGTATTAAAAAATTACTTTAAGAATCAGTAAAAAAGCTGTCCCAAATGAAGCCTCAATCATTCAGATATAATTGATTTCATATAATAAACTTATTATTGCCAAACCATAGTTAAGTGTGCAGCTTTGTTCCAAAGCAAAAAGTTGCAACTGTTTTTGGTTCTTCACCTCTGCTATTTCTCCAGATTCTATATCCGTAAGAGTTTCATATACCACGGCATCTTTGGGATGATTTTTTTATTGTTTCTTAAAATATAATTTTAGTACAAAAATTAAAATTTGTTTGCTAAAATTTTGTTTTAAGGCTTCATTTGGGACGACTTTTTTATTGCTTTGTAAAGAATTTTTTTAGTTAAAAATTTTTTAATTTAAAAATTTTACATTAAAAAATTACTTTAAAAAATAACAAAAAAGTTATTTCAAATGAAATTTAAATTTCTTAATTAAAAATTCATAGCACATTATTTTGAAGTTTTGCTTCAATTAAAATTGAGCTGAACTGAAATAAACTGGAAGCAAGAACCATATGATTTTATCATAGCAATCTCATCCTTTTGATTATCACCAGCCCTAAATAGGGAGCAATCATCCAGAGATCAACAATCACGCGTCATGTCACTTGAAACTTGGTATTGAGCACTCGGTATTATTCGGTATACGTCTGGATTTTCGGTTTTTTGTCCGGACGTAATAATTATCCCCCCAACTTACGCAAATCATAAGACCCAACAAAGGTCGCAAACTGTTGCAACAATTCCATTGTCATTGCCTTCATCAATTTCCTTAAAGAAAATGCTCAAAATGATTGTTTGAGTCTAATTTGATCAAATCATGTTTGAACTATGATTCGAATTCAAAGTATTTCAAAGTAATTTTGTTCACCATAAACTCCAATAAATACTTATTGAATAAAACATGGGTCATTTCAAATAAAAAAAAAAGAATTTTTTGGCTATAAATTTTCTTACTTGCCAATAAATTCTTTTAAAAATTTTAATATAAAATTTACTTAAAATATATTAAAATTCAAAATTTTAATCACAAGTTGTTTAAAATATTCAAAAAATACATATTTCTTTTTTGCATTAAATGTTTCATTATAATTTTTTTAAATAATCTCTCATTCTTTTTACCATTATATTATAATATTAACTTAAATTATAATCACTCTCTCTCATAATAAAACCAGTTCGAGCTCAAATTTAATTAGATTAATTAATTCGACTAAAAAATTCCCCTAATTTTATTAGTGCAAAACACAAGCCTCTCTATATTCGATCAAAAATTCTATCCAACATATCAAACAATGACGAAATAAATAAATAAATAAAAATCTTATAAAGTAAAAAAACAATTTTATTACTGCTATGATGAATTGGAGATTTTATTCTTCAGTGCTCCATCTTCAAGAAAGAAAACCATTAAAATCAACTGCTGAAAACTATCTTAATTTACAACACCTCCAGCTTAAAAATACAAACACATACACAGTTGTACAAAATTACAGTTATGATCCATTCATAAAAATAAAAAAAAATTACACTCTAGTGCATATAAGAACACACTGTTTTCATAGCACATAATGGAAAAGAGATTCTGTAAAGCAGGTTGAAGGTGCACTACTTGAATGGAGCTGCAACCACATTTCTGAAATCAAATTAAGGAAACCTTATTGATGTATTATGTTGACTTATTGAGTTAGGACTTCATCGAAAGCTCATATATATGCAAGCGAGCTTCGATCGCTCGCAGATTGCGGTCGGCCGCGGGTAGGAGTAGGCGGTCTCTGTGTGTTGAGTTCCTGTAAGAAGAACAGAAGGTCAGAGAACCCAAAAAATATTTTCAATGGATTACCAAATATAAAATGAACTCCTATCATAATTAGTCTAGTATAACTACTAGAGATTAGCTTTGTGAATTCTTATTCTCTATTCTGTCTTTTTTAAGAGCTATTGTAATGCAATTCATTAATTTGATTGAGCCATCATTAAATTGATAGATAAATTTGATTATGAACTAATCAGATGGTTTATGTGAAGATGATATTGGATTAAAATTATAAGTAATTTTAGGCTGAATTATTTTGATTAGTTGGCTCTTTTTGTTCAAATTAAGATGGAATATAAAATTAATGATGCTTTACCTCATTGGCTGAGTAATTATTCTGTGCGGACATTGAACAGTCTAGAGACCAACCAGAACGCGCCACGTCACCCGCTACCGAGTAGTACCGAGCACCGGTACAGAGCAAAATATGACGCGGCGCGTTGTGGTTGGTCTTTGGACGTCGTCCGGAGTTCGCGCAGAATAATTTTTCTTTGTTACTCAGGGGTTTCAAGCCTTTATTTGCTTCTAGGGAGGTAATCCTATATCTCATATGAAATAAAGAGTGGAGAACGCAATCATTATGCTTGCTCTCAGAATGACCAAGTGATAATCCTATGGATAATAATCATAATATATTAGGATCATATAAATAACATGATCATGATTTATTGATGCATGCATACTTGGGAAATAAATCCAAAAAGAACTCTGAGATATCATTGTTTATATAAATTGTATAATTGCAAGCTGTTTTGGATGAATATAGATTTTTTAGTGTCATGCTAGTTTAGATACTATGCTTCCATAATTTTTGGTGATGGCTAGACTAGGTCTGATGGATACAAGAGGTATTAAATCTATTTTGTAAACATCTTTTTGCACTTCTATTAAAATTACTTCAGTCTAATCTTCTTTATCATCATTATTTGACATTAATTTTATAAATTTGTCTTATCGATTCATCTTGATTATGAAGATTCAATGCCCTTTTATTCTAATCTTTTGTGGGTTTTGATACATATAGGTGTAATGATGAAGTAAGAATGTCAATATTGGACCCAACAGAAAAATTTAACTCAAATCTAATATAAAAAATATGGGTTCGGATTATGGTTGTAAACGAACTGAGCGTTTGACAAACTATCAAGGCTCGGCTTGATAAAAGCTCATTCGTGATCGTTTAATTATGTAATCAAACAAACTTGAATATTTTCTTAAATACTCGATGCTTTAATAAATAAGCTTGAACAACTATGTGTTCGACTCGTTTATGTTCTTGAACAACATCGTCCGAAGCTCATGAACATGCTCGCTCATAAGCTTGTTAGGAGCTTGATTTTTGTTTGATACGGAAGTTTAATAAATCTAATTGTAAAAACCCAAAATTCTTAAATACTCGATGCTTTAATAAATAAGCTTGAACAACTATGTGTTCGACTCGTTTATGTTCTTGAACAACATCGTCCGAAGCTCATGAACATGCTCGCTCATAAGCTTGTTAGGAGCTTGATTTTTGTTTGATACGGAAGTTTAATAAATCTAATTGTAAAAACCCAAAATTCGTCATTTGAGTGCGTCGCACGCATATCGATGCGCCGCGACGAACTTAAGTGAAATTTCGACGTCGTCGGAATTCGACGAAATAAATTTCGTTAGATTCGTCTCGAAATTTCGAGCGAAATGGTATAAAGAACTTATATTTAATTTCGCTCGGTTTTGGAGATATAAATTGCCGAAGAAGGTTTAAGTAACATTTATGCTAATTTCCCCTTTTACCCTTAGAGCCCTTAAGGAAATATTAGGGAAAAAGGGCACATGCGTAATTGGCATTTTATTTTCTCTAAAAGCCCTCTTAAGGGACCGAATTATTCGGTCCCTTGTTGTGTTCTCTCGGCCGAAAGAAGAGAAGCGGACGGGAGAGAGGGGGAGGGCGACGGGAGACGCACGAAGGCCGGTGACCGGCGGGTTTTCCGGCGAGCTTCTTTTGGAAAAACGTCGGGGAGGCCTAGGGAAGAAGAGAGGTAAGTGTATATTGCAAGAAACTTCCCTCTTTTATGAGATTTTTCTTGGAGAAAAATTTAGGGTTTTGATTTTGATGGGGCTTTCATAGAGAATTATTAGAGAGTGTTTGTGTGCACACTCTTGAGTAAGAAAATAAATTGTTTTATGAAGAAAATTGTAGGTTTAAAAATTTAGGGTTTTGTGGAAAATTTCTTTTGTTCTAGAATTGATGTTATGAGTTTAGAAACATTTGTAGCTTGAAATC